CCCCCCCCCCCCCCCCTCTCTCTCTCTCTCTCTCTCTCTCTCCCCCTCTCTGTGGCCGGCCCGGCCATGCACTCACTGCACCAAAGGCACAACCAACCAACCCACACGCATCGCATACACATATCGGCCGGCGCCACACCAATAGAATTACACGCGCGCCAAGCCAAACACCCACCCGTGTAAGTATGAGAGTAGCTGGCTGGCTGGCTGGCTGGCTGGCTTCATAAATATACATACCACTTAGTGTGCGTCACGTACGGATGCCATGCAGCACGGCACGGCACGGCACGGCACCAAAACGTGTGTGCATCGAATGAATCGATGGACAGACATGTCCATGTAGCTGGGCAGCTTTCACGTCACGTCACGTCATGCATCGATTCGATCGGTCACCAAACAAAGCACACGCCATACCATACCATGCCATGCCATGCCACATGCATCCATCGCCCGATAAGATAGATAAAGTCGAGCATGATGCATGCCATGGCTTGGAGACGTCCACCTGGCCACGCCTCGCCTCACCCCACCCCGCCAGCCAAGTAATCCAATGCAACCAACAATCAGTCAGCGAATTGATTTGTGCTATGCTACCTACTGCATCCATCGGTAATGAAGAATGAGAGTGCCCCGGGCAATACCCTAGGCAAAAATCGCTCCAGCAGTATGCCGCCCTCCCTCCCTCCCTCCCTGAGTGAGAGTGAGTGCGGCAGATAGATAGACACCTCATGCGTGTCTGTCGTGTCCCAATCCTACCTACGACAAAGGCACCTCCACCTGAAGCCACCCACCACCAACACACAACCACACACAGACAGACAGACAGGGATATGACGTACTGACGACCCCATCAGCCTAGCTGGCCAGGCCGCCTGCTTCGTGTAAGTGTACCCCACCCACCCCGTCTCTTTTGGAGTCATTGATCCACTTGGAGAGGAGGTTCCTGAGGAGCAAGACAAGACACGACACGACGCGCGATGAGATATCTAGATTTGTGGAGGCTTGGCGAACAGACGAGATGCGTGCGTGCATCGAACGAGCTTACCGCAGTCCGAATTCCTCCATCCTGACACATTCGCACACACACACACACACACACGCAGAAAGAGATGCTTAGCTCCCTCCGTGTGAGTAGGTAGGTGCTGTGTGCGGGGCGTTACTTGAGCTCGGTGGAGAGTTGGCTCTGCTGGAGGCTGCTCAACGCATTGCCGTCCAGCCGTTGCTGCAGTAAGTGAGGCAGGCCATGCCAGGCAACACAAATGGTGATTGAAGTGTAAGAGGTGGGTGGGCTACGTGCGGTGCCTCGGTCGGGTCGGTTTGCGTACCGTATCGACATATTTGATGAGCTCGGCCGCCAGCGGCCTGGTGCGGCTCAGGTGGCTGAAGACAGCGCGGACCTCATCCACCGACAGCTCCTCAAGTCTCTTCTTGATAATGGTGCCAGGTGGACTGGCAGCTCCAGCACCACCTGCAGCACCACCTGCAGGTGAGGCAGCAGCCGAGGCAGGCTGCCCCTGTGTATCGTCCAACCCTGACAGCAGGCAGAGCAGAGCAGACACAGAACGTCATGACAAATCCATTCGCTGACTCGCCACGTCATCCCTCCCCTCCCACCTGTCTTGTGTTTCTTGTGCTTAAGATCACTGTCAGCACCGCCGTCCAGCCCCCGCTTCGCCCCTGCACCCCCACCACCAGCGACGCCGTTCCGTCTGTGACCGCTGGCTGCCGACCGTGCATCCGACTCGCTCGCGGCCATCTTCTCATCCACAGCTGCGCACACACACACACATTCGCATATACAGAGGAGCAACCGACACAGAGGGAGGTGATCGTCAGGCGGCTGCCACCGAAACAGCTCCCTCCCTCTCCCTCTTTGTACCGATCTGTCTGTTGGTCTGTCTCGTCCGTCTGTAACGGCTCCCGTCGTAGCGCACAATCCTCTGGTCACCGTCCACGATCATGGTGGCATCCGTCGAGCTGATGAGCTGACCGAACTCCTCCCTCTGCGCCTCCCGCAGCCTCTCCACAAGCCACTGCGACACCTCCCACTGGTGCTGGCCTCCTGACGGGTTGCGATGAAAGTCTCCCTCGATATAAATGTCGCTTCCGGGGCCGAAGGGGCCGATGCGCGCGACGACCGCCTCCTCGTGGCTGCTTGACGGGTTGTGCTCCAATCGCGCCTTGTCCTCGAGGCCGTCGTAGGCCGCGTCGTGCTCTGCAGATCGCGGATCGCACAGCCGATACCATAGCTCCTGACATTGGGCAACTTGCTCTGAGATGGAGGTGCAGGGACGCTTGTGGTCGGTCTTGCCGCGCTTCGGTCGGGTCAGTCGGGAGGACGCTGTGGGTGGAGATGAGCGGGGAGCTCGACGGAGTGGCGAGGAGGGCAGCCCGCTGTTGAGGCCCTTGCGCTTGCCACCCTTGCCGGTCCCCTTGCCACCTCCCAATCCCTCCTTGGCCCAACCCTTGCGCGCCTCGCGCGTCTCCTGGAGGACTTGAATGGCCCTGTCGCCCTCGAGCTTGACCTCGGTGACGGTATATTGGCTGGGGAGGGGCCCGACAGCTCCCCAGCTCTCTGCTCGCTTCATCGTTCGCTGGATCTTGAGCCGCAAGTTGTTGTTGTACCACTGCTCCTTGCCTCGGGAGGGATCCCGGTGGACGTCGGCCTGCACGTAGTAATCCCTGTTGGCACCGAAGTGGAACGGGCCGATGGTACATGTGACGGCCTCCTCGTGCTTGCTGGCCGAGGAGTTGTCCGCAAAGTACGCCTCCACACCAGCAAACAGGTCACCGGTAAAGATGCCGCCCTCCGACTTGGATCGCCACAGTTCTCGGACCTCCTCGACGATCGCCTCCCTCTGTCGTCTCGGTGGTGGGGCTGTGTGGGGCGCTCCAGGCTGCTGGACGGGGGGCGATGCAGGCCGTCCCGCCTCGCTGGCAGCAGCTGCCGCACTGGCCGTTGGTCTCCCTCCAGCGTCGCCTGCGGCGTCACGCCGCTGGGCAGGGTCGCTCTTGGCCACCAGGATGCGCTTGCCGTCCATCCAGACCTCGTTGAAGCCACCCGGAGAGCTCTGACCCGTCCGCGCCCTGTCGTGGGCCCGTTGGATCTTCTCCTTCAACTTGCTGAAGTACCATCTGGAGTTGCTCTGGCTCGGGTTGCGGTACACCTCGCCCCTGATGTGGTATGTGCCCAGGATGGGGTCGTTGAACGGGCCAACGATGACTGCACACACGCACAAACACACACACACACGCTCAGACATCAGATACGGCGAACAGCGACACATCTGTCTGTCCATCTATCTTTTCCGTGTTGCGTCGGTCCATACGTACCAGTGACGGCCTCCTCGTGATGGCTGGTGGGATTGTGGACGCACTCGCACTCAAGGCCGATGAACATCTCCTCAGACGCCTTGCACTTCTTGTGGATGATGTCCCTGACCTCCTGCTCCATCTCATGAGGTTGGCGGCGCTGTCGAGGCTGCGATGACATGGCCAACTTGGCGTCGATGACGGGGAGCTTGTGCTTGCCATCCGCCGGGCGGCCCTTTTTGGTGCTGTTGTTGCTCCTCCTGCCGTGGGGGTTGTGGCTGAGCACTCGTCTGCCGCGCAACGTGACGAGGGAGTGCACGCCCGAGTTGAAGCCCGCGTGAATGCGCAGCCTGGTCCTGCGTGCGGCTGATTGCAGAGAGCCGAACTCCCACCACTGCTTCTTACGATCGGTCCGCTGGTACACCTCCGCCCGGACATAGAATTCCTCCTCGTGCTCTCCATCGACCTTGCCACGGAACGGGCCGATCTCCACCACTACTGCCCTGGAATGCTTGCTCTTGGAGTTGTACGTGAAGTCTGCCTCCAGGCCGGCGAACAGCGCATCGTACAAGGCGCTCCCGTCAGTGGTCTTGGCCTGCCAGGCATCCTTGACCTCGGCCACCGCAGCGGCCATTTCCTCCGGTGAAGGCTCATTTGGCCGGGGCGATGCGGCCTTGTCGTCCTCTTGTCTGTCGGCCATCTCGACATCGCGGTGCTCACCAGCCGCCCCCCCATGGCCATCCTCACCATGACCAGCGGCCTTGTCAGGCGTGTATCGGTCCGGGCGAGCGGTGAGCCGTTTGCCTTTTGGCCGGTTGGCGATGGGCTCGTCATCGCTGTCAGCCTGACCCCCGCCTATGTCGACGTCGAGGGGTGACTCGGAAGGGGGGCGGGGCGAATCACGGGATTGGGGTGGGGAGGCCGACTCGTCGGCGGCCATTGGACGATCAACGGGTTCAGTCGGCAGCTGTTTGGCATCACCACCAGCGGCAGCGGCAGCAGCAGCCACACTGCTCCCGGGCGTCTCCTTCGCGTGTTCAGCATCGTCATCGTCCGTCATGGCGTCTCCATTGTTGCCCTTGGGTGAAGCGTCAGGAGCTGGTGAGCCAGAGGGACCAGGCGAGGGATCTGCGTCGGCCTTGGGCTGCTGGCCGCTCTCCCCTGCGGACCCGTCACACCCCTCGGGCCTGACAAGAGCAGCCATGTGACCATGAGGGGCGGCGGGCCCCACATGAGAGGCACGATGGTTCTTCTCCTCGTCCTCGCTGGCGCCACCGTGCTCCCAGGCATCCAGAGCTCCCTGCAGGAGGTTATAGGTCTTGCCCGCCACATCAGGCCCGCCCGCCTCTGCCTCATCTCGGGCACCGTCGCCCTCACCCTCACCCACGCCAGGCCGCTGCCCGTCATGGCCCATCTCCCCTCGCATGGCCGTGTCGGCATCGTCACTCGCATTCTTCTGGACCGGCATCTGGTGTGCTGCCTCGGGCGGGTCGAGACTGTCGAATGGATCAACAGACGGGGACGACTCGTGACGGAGGGCGTCGACATGGCTATTGGGGGCCTTGCTGTCCGCCTCACTCTGAGGCAGGATGGGAGGGGGAGCCGGCACACGAGGAGGAATGTCGTCAGTGAACGTCGTTCCATCATGCGCAGCACTAGGGGCCTCCAGCAGACGGCGAGATGACATGGGATGATCAGTTGGCTCCTTCGGCGGCTGCTCGCCATCTGGGTGCGTCTCGACAGCCACGCCGACGGAACGATCAGCCTCCAGTGACCCCCCAACGGCCACGGGCAACCTGCAGGCACCACACAGACAGAAGGAAGTTTTCCATAGGAAGTTTTCCAAAGAGATGGCCTAGGTGAGGTGCAGTGAGTGCGTCTGGCCACCCGCGGGCGCAGCGCACCTGGCCTCGTCGACACTACTGTTGGGCTTCTCTTCGGTGCACTCATTGTCCTTGCTGTCCGTCGGCATGGGACCTCCACTGTCGCCCTTGGCCGTCAGGCCATCCGCCACCTCAACAGCATCGGGCTGCTTGCTGCGCTCTCCTTCGGCAGAAGCACCCACGCTGTCGTGGGGGCCGGCTTGCGTAGCGGATGAACGATGCTGCGGCTGCGGCTGCTCTGCATCCATCGCATCTCCATCCTCAGGGGGGCCATGGTCTTGGATGGCCGTGTCGGGCCCGACACACGCATCGGCGAGCACAGGCTTCTGATGCGCCGACATGGGTGGGGGCTGCTCGTTGTCTTGTGGACTGACTGACGGTGGGGGTCCGTGACTGGTAAGTGGGGCCATGGCGGTAGCTCCGGGTGCAACGTTGACAGCAGGAAGCCCCCTCGGCTGGGTGCCCGCATCTCTGACCTTGGCTTCCTGTTTCTGACACGGTGAATGAGCAGCACCCTCGTCCGCGGCCTCGTCCTGCCTCATCGTCTCGCGTTCCAGGTTGACCCGGGAGGGCCGTGCCGCTTTGAGGGTCGCAGGTGCCACGTGATGCGGGGGTTGCGGAGTCGGTCGAGCTTTGACCTTCTTGTCTCTGTGCTCTGCGTGTCTGTGGTCTTGGGGCTGCATGAGGATGTCACTGGCGTCCCAGCCCACACGTCTGTCACCTGCTGACAAAAGCCAGCAACGATAGATACAACCAACTGACATGGATGTGTCAGGCCTGTACTCCCTGATGTGCGTTGGTGCATGCGTACCCACCCTGCTCTGATGGGCAAAGATCCGACACCGCCTGGTCGCCAGAGGCAGATTCACCACCGCCACCAGCCGCTGCCCCCTGGGTAGCTCTCTCAGCCGGTCGCTGCTGGCCGCGAGGACGAGGGGGGCTTATGACGGCCTGGACGCCCCCACCTCTGCCTCTGGCACTCCCCTCCATCAAGGCATCCTGCAGCTGGTCGATCGCCGGCCCCCGATCCCGACCCCGCCCGCCACGACCCTGCCGCTCGGCTGCATTGCCGTCGGGCTCGTCATCTGACAGCTCGATACAGACGGGCGGCTCCTTGTTGACGGAGGGGGCCGCCGCGGTGGTGGCGCCAGTCTGCTGGGCATTGCTCGTGAAGGGTGGCCTGTGCGCAGGCGGCGGACGGGGCGGGCCTCTGAGGCTCCTCATCGGAGGCCTCATTGGTAAGGGGGGTGGCGAGAATGGGGGCAGGCTGGGTGGTGAGAATGATGGCGCGTTGGGGGGCCTGTTGGTCGCAAGGTGAGAGGGCGGAGGGCGCATTGGCATCCTGAGATTCATCGGGTCTATCGTCGGCGGTCTCAGACTGACAGTAAAGACACCTCTGCCGCCAGCCGAGAGAACGCTCTTGTTCGCCGTTGCAGGCCGCGAGATGGGAGGGCCTTGATTGCTGGCATGCTGTGGCTGCAATGGCAACGCTCTCCCAGCGAGGAGGCTTTCCTGCCGCGACGCCCCGGCCGCCCCCTGCCGCTGCTGCTGCTGCTGCTGCTGCCCATGTCGCGGGCGTGACTCCTGCGATTGCTGGGTGGGGGACTGAGGCATCGTAGAGAAGACACTGGGAGGGGGCTGCTTGCGGCTGTGATCCATGGCCGCCGCCGGTGTCGGTCTGGCTGCCTGTGCCGCCTGCCGCTGCTGTCCCGCCCCTGATGCTCCTGTTACAGTCTTCTGGGCAGCCGGCGCGGTCGCTGTCTGTGGAGTCGCCTGACGGGACGGCCCTCCCTCCTCGACCTTGACGCGCACGCCACCCGTCTTCTGCGTCGGTACCACACCGCCGTGTCCACGTCCATTTTGACCCTTGTCGCTCCCGTCAGCCGGCTCCTCCTTGACGTCTCGACGCCAGACGGAGGGACAGTTGCGAGTCGGCCTCCCAGTGGACGTCAGGCTCCCAGAGGGGCAGCCGCTGTCCTGGGACGCTGGTCGATGGAGTGCGGGTCGGTCGGCCGCTCGCTGTGATGCACCTTCCTTGGACTGCCCTCTCTCCTGCGATTTGCCCATCGACACTCTCTTGTCATCCCGTTGAAGAGGTGGCCTCGCCTGCTGCTGCTGGTGGTGGTGGTGGTTGTGGTGGTGGGTGCCGGGGGCTGGTAGAGGGGGCAAGGCAAGCTGTGGCTGCACTTGTTTGTACTTGTGGATGAGGGTGCTGAAGTTCCAGCTGGAGTCGGGTGACGTGCCAAGGGGTGGGCGGGACACGGACGCTTTGATCGTGATCGGGGCGCCGCCATCCTTCGTGGCCAACGGTCCCAGCGTCACTGTGCAGCTGTCGCCGTCAGCTGCGGTCACCCTGACCTGCCCGTCCGTGAGATGACAGATACACCTGAAGTCGGGGTCCTTTGAGCTGCACTTGGCCACCAGCTCATCCAGGCAGTCTCGCTCGAGGCTCGAGCTGGCTGGTGTCCATCCCGAGTAGCGCGCGGCTTGCGTGGGAGGCTTCTTGTGGCCTGAGTTGTGCTCCGTCTTGATGACTGCAGGTATGCCGACAGGACCAGGAGAGGCAGAGGCAGTGCGAGGGGGAAGATGGCGGGCGAAGGGCTTGTCATAAGGGGGGATGGGGTGAGGAATCGGACGGCCACGGACACTTCCAGCTGCCTGCACACGCCACGCAAACATGAATGATGACAACACAACAGCGTAGCGTATGAGGGGCTGTCGGTAAGGTAATATGGTGTGGTCCAGCTGCCTACCTGAGGAGTCGCCTCGTTGGCCGGAGCGTGGACACCAGCCTTCCCCGCCGCCGGCAGGGCAGCACCGTGAGCGTTCGGTGGGCGGCAGCCGGTTGGCCGCATCCGTGCCGACGCTGCTGACGCCACAGGAGGCTGGTGAGAGCCTGGTGCAGCCATCACCGTGTGTGTGTGGCCCTTTGGGTGTGCGGCTGGTGGAGGGCTTGTGGCGCCAATGCCCAGCGAGGGCAAGTGGAGGTTAGGGACGTCTGGTTTGGCGTGGATGGCGGCTCCAGCATCCACAGTCCGACCGCTCCCTGAGCCATACACACAGACACAGAGCGAAAACAGAAGATCCACCACGGCTCAATGCCAACGGACCGAACAGTGTGAGTAGCACGTGCGCCGCGCCCACCTGTGGCATGATGCCGCTGTGCGTCCATCCCTCGCGACGACTATCTGTGTGGCTGACGTCTCGCCCTGGGGAAAACAACACTACTATGTATGACCTTGTTTCATCATCCCGCTGCCGTCACGACGGACTCACTCACAGATCCTTCCAGGAATCAGCAAATCCTCTGGCATCTCATATCCGCATCGTTCCACGGCGAGCCCTAAGCCCCGACAGCCAAAAACTGTTGACTCTCGTACGCTTGCAAAGTGGGTGTTTGCGGTGACCGAGTGAACGAGTAGTAGTGACTCGATTTGCACTGCGGGCCGCTCCGTCGTAGTCGACTCAGTGCGCTTGTTCTCTGCGCTCATTCGTTGTTTATCACTGTCGTTGAGTGATGCTGATGCACACAATAGTAAATCGCAGGTCAAACATCCACGCAGATCGAAAAACAGTCACGTCGTGGACAGCAACGTCGTGACAAACACAGATGCACACACACACACACACACACACTCACGTGCACACGAGCAACGATGTGCATGCGCATGGCTTCATGGATGGATGGATGGATAAAGCACACGAACGACTGTCGATGCCGTCACGATTCGGCACCAGTGATGGCAGAGCCTGCCTCTGCTGAGGCCCCCGTATCCTCGGCCAATGCCGCAGCAACAGCAGCAGCGACATCCCCATTCCCATCCAACAGAACACCACCATCATCTGATCAGTCACACGCACCCACAAGGCGACACATACAGAGCCTGGACACCGGTAGAGTGAGTGGCCCACCTGTCTTCTGCACCTTGGTCGGTCGGCTCTCCCCCTCTCCCTCAGCCACGGGCGGCTCATGCGCCTTCCGCTTGCCCCGCGAGACCTCCTCAACCACCATCCCCCACCCATCGCCCACCAAGGGAGCCGCAGGTGGTCCTGACAGCCGACACAGACATACAACAGATGGACCCATGTAGCCATCTTTGCATGCCTTCCCGCCGACCGACCTGGTGGACGGTCGCCCTCTGGCTGGGCAGCTGTGGCCGCTAGCCAGTCGTCGAAATTCCGCCATACCGTGTCCTCGAATGTCACCGTCACCTCACTGGGCATCGCCGCCTCTCGTCGTGCAAGACGCACAGCCCTGGCCAGCCGCTCGAAGCCGTCCCACCCATCCCGCACATCCCACCGCAGATCGACACAGACGCTGCAGTTGTTGGACATGCTGACCTCGACCTCCACGCATCTCGACCCCTTGTCAGGCGTGCGGGTGAAAGTGGCCGCATCGACGAGGCCCTCGAAGTCGGGCTCGTACAACGGGCTCTCCTTGTCACACATCTCTCGGAAGACGCCAGTGCACCGCTCCAGTCTTGACACCATGTCTTGCTCATCTGTGCGCCGGTCAGGGGGAGGGTGCTGAGGTGCTGGTCCGTCGGTCAAGTCCATCATCTGTCGCTCGACGGCCGACCCATCCTCAACCGCCTCCAAATCCCGCTGCACCACCGAAGGGAAGGCTGCTGGTGGTTGTGTTGGTGGTGCGGATGAACTCGGCTCTGCTACTGACGCCTGCTGGGCATCGGTCTCTGCACCGACGAACCCAACACACACAAAACACATACAAAGGCAAATATGGGCGGAATGAGTGGGCGTGGCCATCATGTCCATGATAGCCATCCAAATGGAAGCACCTCCCTACCTACCGTCTTTGGCCGGCGTACCGTCTTTGGCCGGCGGCTGTGTGTGGATGTCCCCCTGGCTGTTGCGGATGCACACCTCTGCACACACAAACAACACAAGAACACGTGTGGCCGAAAACATGAATGATGAATGCCATGACGCCCACGTGATGCCTTGTCTTACCGGGCGGCACCTGTTCCCCCGGCAGCCAGCCCTTCCCCCGACACTCGTCGCGAAAGGCAACTGCATGCACCAAGGCCTCCCTCAGCTCGTCAGGCTCTCCCTTGGTCGGGCGGAAGTAGCGCGACTTCCTCTCCACCTCACCGTTGTCCAGGGTCTTCTGGTAGCACATGATGAACACCTGACGCGTCTCGGAGTAAGTGACGTGGAAGCCCGGCACACGCTTGCCGTTGCACAACAGCCCCTCCCTCTGTCGCTGCTCGTTGATCATGCGGTTGGCCAGCATGCTGAGCATGGCCTTGTTGCCCCACTGGAGCGAAGGCAGCCGGTGTGACGTGAGAGAATCCCTCGCTGCGGCCGCCGCTGAGGGGGCCACCGCCAGACGATCATCTGACGGTTGGTCAATCCCGTCAGCTCTCGCGCCCTGTCCATCGGCTGATGATGAAGGCACCTGCCCACCACGGCTGTCCTGGTGCTGGCTTCCTGCTCGCTCGCGTGTTGAGGCGGACGCATCAGCGGACGCCAGGGCCTCCATCTCTTCCAGCCCGACCCCTTCCTCATCGACGGGACTCACAGAGACCTCACGGTCGGCTTGCCCCTCGGCGAACACGTCGTCTCTCGCGGCCAGGCCCGTCTGCTCTGCCGGTGGCTGCAAGCGCTTGCGTTTGCCGAAGTCGGGCGCCGCCGTGAGCTGCCTCCTGTATTTCAGAATGCGCTTGCCGTGCAGCTGAATGAAGGTGTAAAGGGATGGGTCGGGTGGGGCGCCGTTGCGCTGCCGTGCCGCTTTGATCTTGGCCCTGACGTTGCCGAGGGACCAGTAGGTCCTCCCCCGTGTCGGATCGCGATGCACCGGCGCATCGACCCAGTACTCGCCCCCGTGGCCATCGGCGAACGGCCCGAGGACGCACGTGACGGCTTCCTCGTGTGTGGACGTAGGGTCGTGAATGACGGCGCTCAAGCCCGCCTGCGTTCTCAAGCTCGAGTCGTTGTAGAAGAGCACCTTCACCTCATGGATGAGGACAGCAGATGAGCGGGGACTTGTCGTGGGGCGGTGGCTTGGCGACAGCTCAGGACGTCCCTCTCCCTGACCCACCCTGTCGCCCTGCTCCACGGCCTCGCGAGCCATTCTTGCTCGCGCCGCAAGAACGGAACCCGTGGGGCTGCTGCCTCCTTGGGTCTCGAGAAGCTTGTCGAAGAGGTCGCCAAACTGCCACCCACTACTGCGTGTCGACGCCCGCCGACTCCCCGCCCGCCTGGCGACGCCTTTGACAGCCACGCACTGCCCGTCTGGGGTGTCGATAGGTCCCACTGTCACCTCGATCGTGCCGTCGGGATTGAGAGAGAAGTTGGTCTTGCTTTCGAGAGTGTCGAGGAACTGCCGGGCGTCGAACTCGCTCTGGTCGACTAGACTGGAGGCTGGCGTGCTCTTGCACTTGGCGACGAAGGCAGCGCGACACGTGCGGATGCACTCGTCCTCAGGATTGGTGTGCATTGGGTCGTCGCTGTCCCTGGCCTCGTGTCCATTGTCGTGTCGCCATGCTGCAGGACAGGCGTCTGTGTGCATGCCTGAGACACACGCAGAAAGGGTCAGTTTGCCAATGTGTGAGTGAGCCACCTCCTTTGTGCGTGCAATGCATCGTGTGGATGTGTACCCTTCGTGTGTGACTGCTGCGCCACTGGAGTTATCGGTGCAGGAGACAGTGGGCGAGCTTCCCTTGGGTGGGGCATATCTGGCAAAGGACGGGAGACAACGAAGCGAGTGTCGGCCGGCCAGCTCATTGTGCGAGCGTGTGAGTGTGCGTGGGTCTGCGTCACTCACCTGCAGCGCGTTCTGGGTTTTATTTTGCTCGCCTCCTCTGGTCCTCTTCGGCGAGCCTCACGGGGAGCACTACAGCAGGGGGCTCGCTCTGAGCACGACACCACAGGCAAACCGCCCCTCCGCACACGGATGACCGGTGGCTGTTGCGGGTTTGCCATACCGATTGACGGAGCACGTGATGCACCCACTTCTCGGCCTTATTGCGCACCTTCTCGTAGCGCGACTCGATCGGGGCCGAGGAACCCAACGTACACACACGCATACTGAACACACCAATGGCACACAGACATGCACATCTTACTTAGGTCGCCTGTACTCTTCATTCGTCGGTGCTTACGCTCTCCAGACAGCGTCACGGTATTGGCCCTCGTCCATCCCATCCGGCACGCCAAACTGTAGGGCCGTCGGCGGGTCGAACACCTGGTACTGCGGCTCCTCACTCACACCGCCACCAGCTCCGCCACCAACAGACGAACGGTCGTTATCTCCGCCCTCCTCACAAGCACCCGTCGGCATCAGCGCAGTATCATGCCGTGCAGCTACCTCCCCCCTCTCGTCGCTCGGCTGCTCTCCCGCTGCCGCTGCCACTGCCGCCGGCTGGTCTCCCCGCTCAGGGCCGGGACCGCTCTTGTCTGCCGGGGCGCCAACAGATCGCTGCTCGGTCGATGCACCTCCTCCATCTGCTGGCGGTGATGGTAACGTGTGTCGGTCCTCGGTGTGGGTGAGGGGTCCGTCACCACTGATGCGATCGTCGGCAGGAGGGGGTGGGCGTGGGGGACTTGGTTCACATGACGCCGGGACAGCGTCGCCAGTCTGTCCCCTCCTGGCCTTCTCGCAGTGCTGCGCCCCGTCCCTCTCGCCGTCATCTGCCTTGACACTCGCACTCTCCTTGTCAGCCAGAACCTCAATCCACATCATGTCCCGACTGATCGCCTGCTTGGGCCTCAGCAGACGATGATTTGTCCGGCGGGGATGAATGGACCGGGGGCGACGCAGTGGGCCGGACGCGCGTTGGTAGGCGAGAGCAGGTGAGGGTGCAGGGGGTCGCGCCGTGAAGTTCACCCTTCTTCGCTGGATGGCATCGAGCACCTCATTGGTCGCCCTCTCGAACCTCTGGTGAACCACCTCCCTCCAGCCCTCCTCCGACACAAATGGCACGACAGGCAAGTTGGTCAAATCTACCTCGCGCACGACCGCCTGGCCGCCTGCAGGTGGGCGGAACTCGCACAAGAAGCCGCCGGTGCCCGACGAGTCCCAGTCGATGTCGCTCAGCTCCGTATAATTGGGCTGGATCTCGCGCAGCTTGGCACAAACACGTCTTGCGTGGGCTGCCAGCGCCTCAGCGGCATCAGGCTGCGATGCGATGGTGCGGCTATCTGATAGACGCACACAAACCGATCCATCCAGCACATTTATCCAGGATGCGATGCTTGTCAGCATGAATTTGGCTTGGGTGCTTGTCGTGTCAGCAGGCCATTCGTCGTGCACCTCACGTACCTTGAGGCTCGCCCGTCTGAGGTCCGTGCCCTCCACTCATGCTGAGCCTGCTTCCTCCCGACGGGGAGATCTCAATCCACCAACCATTGCCAGTGGAGAAGACGGAGAGGCGTAAACGTTACAGTGAGCCTCTCTGGGCGAACAAAGTATAAAATCCTTTTCTTTCCGGTGTGCTCTGTCTGTCTGTCTCTCTCTCTCTCTCTGTCTTCTTCATCCGCACCAATGACCACAATCCTCAGCAATCGAAGAGTCCAAAGCGACTGACGCATCACATTGAAGTCTTCGAAGCTGCTGAGCATCACGGTCATTGTGAGACAACGTGCAGCGAGACGATGACACGCAGTCAGTACCCCAGGACAGGAGACACATCCGATGGTGACACCAGTGAGGTGAAAGTGAGGCGCTCTCAGCTTCTAAGACACATGATTGATACGTACGTATAATTGTCTGTCTACACAGATGACACAACGAACGCTCATGCACACCAAATTTCCACCTCCTCACCGTCCGTCCGTCAGTCAGTCAGTCAGGCAGGCAGGCAGACGGAGAAAGCAGCGCCTTGCGCTGATGTATGTCAGTGCCCACCCACTCAATGCACACGGCACCTACACCAACCATATACACACCCTACCACACCCTCCCACAGCCTGCCTGCCTGCCAACCAGCCGGGAGAAAACAAGAAGGGCAAAATCTCATGATCCGCCTCCCCCTCCCCCAGGCGTGCGTCCACGTATCACCGCCCGACCTTCTCCGTTTCCTTCTCCTTGGTGTCCTCTGCTGGCACGGCGCACTCATCCTCACACCCTTGGGGGTAGGCCGACTTGTCCCGCAGCTTCGCCGCCCTCTCCTCCATCACCTTGGCCAGATCGGGCCTCCCTGTGAGCCGCAGCCTGTTACTCGCCCAGATGTCATATGCGACGTCCACTGCAGGGCCGATGACTGGAAGCTTAGTGGCCGCATAGACCCAGCCAAGACCTGCACACACACAAGACAAGGCAGAAGAGGCGACAGCACTATGTGTGCCTTGTCGGCCTCGTCTGTGTGTGTGTGTGTGTGTGTGTGTGTGCTTGTTGTGCTCACCGATGGCTTCATAGACCCTCCTGAAGACCTCCACCCCGCTGATGACGTCGCCCGACGACGTGACGGCATGAATGGACCGCATGCCCCTCTCGAAGTCCACATTGCCGTGCTCTTCCTGCTTGTACCCCGGCGACGCCAGGTCAGTGAACTGGATCTTGCCCTCCGTGTCGCGCTTCTTGCTGCAAAGCAAATAAAGCACACACACACACAACACAGCACGACAGTCGCGCTCCTCGAGGTCAGTGCGGGTGCGTGTCTGCATCTGATCTCTCTCACAGGAAGTCTATCTCCTTGAGGCACAGCGGACACTCGCCATCGTAGAGGAGGTCAATCTGCCAGGTCGGTGGAGATTGGGCCGCCCGCTGGGACATCATCCGAGCGCGAGTGAGCCGTTGGAAGGCATTGGATGACGTCAGGCGGCCTCCTGAGGCGGGCAGCTGGAAAGATCTGCTCACGCGGGCAGCGGCGACGAACATGATCACCGTCAGCAACACACTGCTTTGTCCTCTGCACATCAATTCAGGCCTGAAAGGGATAGACTACCGACGGTGCACCCTTCCTTGAGCATCAACTGTCAAGCGCTGGAAGAGAGCGAGCTTCTCTTCCTGGCCCGGCCATGATGGATCGGCCAGCATCACTGGAGAGCATGCAACGAAAAAGGTTGACGAGAAAACACTGCATGCAGACATGCACACGAAATGTCGCATCACGGCACTTTGTGTCCGTTTCCTCGCTCCTTTCGCATGATCTGTCTTTTTGTCTGTCTGTCTGTCTATCCGCATTTGCCTCCGCCGCAGCCACCCGTGGCCACCCAGGACTCCCCCGATCCACGGGTCACCGTCATGGCCGTGAACGACTCAGCGTCCGTCGGGTGGATCCCTACCAAAGTGTCGAAGTCATGCTGACACACACACACACACAGGCAGACAGACACACACACACACACAAACGTCTGGATGTCTGTCTGTGTGTCTGTGTGTCTGTCTGTCCTCTCTCCCCGACCGACCTTTTTTGCCCCCAGTCTGACGGCGAGTGCGAATCCCTGTGTCATCTCGCCGGCGTTCTGGCCGACGTAGTGGAACCCCATGACTCGCTCTCCCAGGCTGCTGACGCAGACCAGCTTCGCGAGGCATGGAGGCGGCAGGTCGACGTCCATCTCGGAGGTGCAGGCCTGGGGGTGCTTCTCCCGGTGCGCCGCCGCCAGCTCCAGAGGCATGAACTCAAACAGATACGTCTCGATGTCGTTCTCGCCGTAACGCTCCTGATATACATACATGATTGATGCGACACACAAACAGACAGAGGGAGGGAGGGAGGGTTGACTTAGTGAGTGGGTCGCCCATTGTGTGGGTGGGGTCTGTCTTACGATGGCTATTTCTTCTGAGATGCCCACGCAGCCGTACTCGAATGGGGTGAAGATTGTCGTGGGCACGTTCTCGTAATCCATCTGGCGTGGGTGGGGGGCACATTACACACACACACACACACACACAACGCACAAAAGGCAAGTTCGTCGCCTGTGTCACGCGGCACATTCTCTCTCTCGTGTATGTTTCTACCCTGGCTTCTGATTGGGCGAACAGCCGCCTGGCGAGAATTTCGCCGGCCTGGATGGCCACCGGCGTCAACTCAGGCCTGACCACAAACAGGCACACACCACACTCAGCCAATCGGACACAAAAGCGGCCTTTGTTGTTCTTCTCACTTGCCGAAGAGCACGTCGCCGACGGCGAATATGTGGGGAACGTTGGTCTGTTCATGGACGCACTCGAACTTGCCGTTGGCAGCCGTCTTCAAGCCCGCCTTGTCGAGACCTATAGGTTGAAAGAGACAACACTGGCCATGTATCATCTCCCTCAAAACAGGCATCGGTGGCTGTGCTGTACCCAGGCCTTTTGTGTCCGCGTGTCGCCCGGTGGCGTAGAGGACCGTGTCGAAGGCCTCGACGTCTCCATTGCTGAAGGCCACCTGAAGGAAGGGGAAGAGTGATCTGTTCCTCGATCGAGTCCCCTCTATGTATGTGATTGCCGCTCACCTCAACCTGTCCGTCAGGTGTTTTGCTCATCCTTTTGGGTGTCACTTGCATCTTAAATCGGGTGCCCAGATTGAACATCATCTCGCCAACCTGACACAAGCACCACATACACACAGATGAAGAAATGGGCAATGGTGGACCGACCGACAAGCGCAACAGCCTACACAGTGTCCCCACCTTCTCTGAGCACTGTCTGTCGAAGCCACGCAGCAGGATGGACCGCACAGCCACCGTCACCTGCATTGCATACACCCACTCGACATGCCAGAAGTGACAGTGACGCCAGCCGGTTTCAGTGTGTGTGTGTGTGTCTGTGTGTGTCTGTGTCCCGCTCGCACCGGAAAGCCGAGCTCTGTGAGGAAGCCAGCGCACTCAAGGGCGATGTAAGACGCACCCACCACCAACCTGTCACACAAAGCAGACAGGCCTGCTGTTGTGCGGAACCGACGCCATCTCCTTGTTCGTCTTACGTTTTGCCGGGGGGCCGTTTGAGTGAGAATATGTCGTCGGACGTGATGGACAGCTCCAGGGCACCCGGAACCTCACTCTCAGGGGGGATCTGCGGCCGCCCCCCCGTGGCAATGAGGAAGTAGTGGCCGCTCACCGTGGTTGGCTCCTGATACAGACACACCGGAAGGGAACGAACGAAGGAAATATCGGTGTGTGTCATTGCGTCCTGCACACAGCGGTGTGGTGTGTGTCTTGTCTTGTACCTTGCCCTTGAGTGTGTAGGTGATGTGGTGGGGCGATGTGAACTTGGCGAGTGCGTTGATGTAGGTCACATTGGCCACCCGCAGGCCCGAACGATAGCTGAAGTTGAGCGACTTGACGTGATTCTGCACAGTCTGCACACACAACCATACACAACCCCACACACGCAACGCATGAGCGGTCTGTCTTTCTGCCCCCCACACGTCTGTCTGTCTGTCTGTCTGTCTGTCTGTGTGTACTCATCTCGCTCATCCGCACCTGCACGAGCGTCGCCCAGTCGTGCTTGACGTCCTTGCCAACCTGCCAGCCGTACTTGGCCGCATCGTGATGGAGCTTGCCGCCCAGCAAGGCGCCGTAATGCATCAGTTTCTTGGGCACGCACCCCACGTTGACGCACGTCCCTCCAAGACCCCACTTTGTGCCCTGCGTGGAGGGCTTGACGAAGTCGAATAGGGCCACCTTGGCTCCCTGCATGGCGGACTCCTTGGCGCAGGCCATGCCGCCCGAGCCGCCGCCAATGACGATGAGGTCATAATCATATCGCTCGGCGCCATCCATCTCGGAGTCCATCTTCGGAGAATATAGATCTGATCTGCTGCTTGCTCGTGGCCGATGTGGCGCCTCACACAAAGGACCAAAGAAGGAGGAAAATGCCTGGAAGGAATCTCCTTCCCGGCTAAGCTCGCAGACGAAGAAGGGGTCCGAGGAGGGGGTGGCATGAGATCAGCGTGAAGCAGGCGTACACCACCCGACGATGGATCCGTCCCAGCAAGCGCTCCTCACGTCACTCCTTCAACTGCAGCAGCATGCACCTGCACCCACCGGAGCAACCCCTGACCTCCCGCAGCTTGCCACGGCCCTGCTCACACAGCAGCTGACCCAACAAGTACCCTCCCACCCTTCAATCCAGCCTCCCATGGCTCCGCAGGCTGCTCCGGCACAGCTGGACATCTCATCGATTCTCGGCCTATCACCTGCTGCTGCACCGCCTCCCGCCGCCGCTCTGCACGGGCTATCTGCCGAGACCATTCTGCAGGCGCTCGGGATGGGTCAACAGACACAGACGGCCTCCCCAGCTGCAGTGCCGATACAGCCACTTGTCCAGAGTGCCAGGGCAGATGAGCCGCCGGCCGCCAAGAGGCCGCGAGTCGAGAGGCGAGATGAGGGCGGTGCTGGTGCTGGTGCTGGTGCTGGGGAAAGCGGTGCGCTTCATGTGGTTGGCCGCTCTGAAGAGGCGAGCAGCGTCAGGGGGTGGAACAAGGGGCAACTGCAGCAGGTACGAATCTAGCTCGTTGTGCATCATCCATCTTTGATGAATATGCATCTCTGTGTGTCTTTGATCGTTGTGTGTGCAGTATTACTACCAGTGGTACATCATCAATGGTTACGCCCATCAGGATGCCATCAAGTCGGCAGCAGGTGAGCTAGCCCCCTCAGCCTCACTCAATACCTTTTTGTTGGTTTCTTTGTTTCAGTTCACGCCGGTTTGGCTCTGCTTGACAGCGTGAACCGATCCACCAGCAACACAACCACCACCTCTCCGCCCCCCACAGCAGCAGCAGCAGCAGCTCCACAGCCACCACACATCATCAAACCGGAGCCCAAACCAGAGCAACCCACCCAGGCAGCCCCCACCCCTCAGCCAGTAGAACAACAAGCCCCACAGCCTCAGCAGACACAGCCGCCTGCGACACAGCCAGCGGCGACGCCAGCACCAGAGACGATGGGCAAGGAGCAAGAAGCACTGCCTGTCGTCGAGACCAACACCGTGATCGAATCAGCGAGTGTCGGCGAGGTGGCCCCTCCAACACCTGCACCTGCTGCTGGTAATGACAGTCTGATGAACTCAACAGCCGCTGGCCCTGCCCCGCTGGCAACAGCCGCTGGCCCTGCCCCGCTGGTGTTTGCCGGTGGTGGTGGTGGCCAGGTCAGTGGCGGTGTTGTGGCTGGTGTGCCGGTGTACGAAGACGGGCCTTCCGTGGCTGCCGCAGACAACGGGGGGCCGGGCGATGATGGAGATGGTGGGGGTGAAATGGCCGAGCAAGATGCTAGGGAAGATAGCGGGCAGCAGAATATGTAGTCGCTGCAGCAGCGTTTAATTGTTTGTGGATAGGCCTCAGGCAGGCAGGCAGGCAGGCAGGGAGGGATGACAGGTGTGCATGCCGGACACCTCATCCACGCATCCATTGATTCGTGTGTGTGTTTCCCTTATGATAATCAATCCATTGAGGCATTGTGAGTGGGCGATGGCTGGCCGGCTGGGTAGCTCATACTGCCAAAGAATAGCGCCTTCAGCCTCGCTCACGGCCCTTAGATCAGTACCGATACACAACGGACGACTCCAACGATTCATTCACACTGTCTATGTGGGGCAGATACTATAGATGTGGCGAGCGAATTTCACGAGCCCATCCGATTCAAGACAGTCAAGGTACGACGGGGAGACACAATGTGAAAGCGGGAGAGAGCTCTCAGTTATCCTCTGTGTGTGCGTGTCTGGTTGCTGCCTGGCTGTCTGTCTGGCCGCAGGGGTTGAGTGTGGGTGAGGTGTATGTGTTGGGAGGGGAGAGGCTCAATGCTGTGCTGTTGGACTCGCTGGCCGAGCTACTGCGGATTCACCAGCTGCCTTCACACTGACTGACTTGCAAGCTCATGTGCATGACACACACGTACAGACAGACAGACAGACAGACGATATTTCACGACAAACTGAGCGGGTGGGGTTGGTCCGCCACTCTCTAAGCTGGTGCCAGGGATAGATAGGCCTCAACAAGAGCTGTCGATTGCATATAAGAATGGTGGGTCCACTATACGTCTGTGGCGAGAAATGACCAATGACATTCCCTGACCATGTGAGAGCCAGATCTCTACAACCAGATCTCGTGGCACCTTGCTGCATGACGCATATGAACCGCAATGGAATGCGCTGCAACATGGTACTCACACCTTGAGCTCATCTTCTCTCGTTGTCGAGAAATGACACGATCAGTGCCGGCGGCCCGGGGGTGCTGGATCTAGTCAACGAAGATGCATCCAGCCGCCGTTCCTGCAGCATCTGAACCACAACAAGAGCAGCCATCTGTCATTTCTTGACAGCGAGGCTCATTCGCTCACCTCTCTCTTTGCAATGAATGGATCGCCGGCAAGCTCGCGCAGAAGATCAGGGCGGAGATCTAGAGATGGCGGCCGCCAGAGGGAAGGCCAAAGCCAAGGCAAAGCCCTCTGCTGCCCGTCTCTTTGTGTGGTGATTGCCTGTCACCCGCTGAGTGTTTCTGCCGGGCGGTTTGTCGATTGGCGGTCAGGGTGGAGAGAAACGAGTGATCGGTCATGTACTTCGTGTCGATCAATCACTAATAACTCCATGAGGTGAGCACCAATCGGCACGCCCCTTTGTCAGGGTGTTCAGCAGAGACACCCCGTGATTTGCACCAGACGGATTTTTGATTGCATGTCTCGTTGCAGAGATACGACGCCAACAAGGCATCGGGTACATGGGATTTCTCAGGAAATCGTTAATAACTCTTCACGGTTGATGGCTACGGGGCTCGTTTTTGGTGAGTGTAATGCTGTTGACATGCTTGACATTTCCCCTCGAGGGATCTTTGATTTATGGTCTGGGTGCAGAGATATGTGCGCTCTCAGCCCCCTCCGCGAGGCCATCGCCAAGGAGCTGCTGCCGGCCCTCCTCGGCGGCTCTGTGACGCCGTCCGAGGTCGACCTGATGCTGCTGCCTGCCCGGCATGGCGGCACCGGCATACGTGACCCTCTCGACCGTGCCGCAGCCGCCTACCCCGCTTCCCGCGCGAGCACCAAGGTGGTCTCCAAGTCCGTCCAAGGCAAGGCTCCGTTCCACCCTGGCGACCATCGTGCCACCATCCGCCACGCCCTCACCCGGAGCAAGCAGCAGCAGGACGTCGCCCACAAGACCAAGAGGGAGGCCGCCCTGCCGCACATCGACCGCCGGCGCCATCGCGTCCTCTCCCGCAGCGCCGAGTACAAGACGTCCGGCTGGCTGACCACCCTCCCGTCGACAGACAACAACACTGGTCTTGATGCTGCGGAGTTTCGAGATGCCCTCAACATGCGTTACGGCCGTCACCCCCCCGGCCTCGCTGCACGCTGCGACCACTGCAACCAGCCCCTCACCGTCGACCATGCGCTGTGCTGCAAGCGGTACGGCCTGGTGATTCGTCGCCACGACGAGCTGCGGGACACTTTTGCCGAGCTGATTGGGATGGCGTGGGGGGACGCTGGTGTGCGTCGGGAGGTGGTGTTGAAGGAGGGAGAGGAGGGGGAGGGTGGGGTCAGGGCGGACATCGTCGCTCGGGGCGTGTGGGAGCGGCAGGCGGCTGCGTCGTTTGACATCTGTATTACGGATCCTGACGCAACGTCTTACGCTTCCAAGAACCGATCGACCAAGTCCATCCTGAAGCAGCACGAGACCGCCAAGAAGAAGAAATACCGCTCGGCCGTCTGCGACTCCCGCGTGACCTTCTGCCCTCTGGTGGTGACGTGTGACGGTGTGTGGGGACACGATGCCAACGTGTTCATCGCCCACATGGCTCATGCGCTGTTGGAGAAGGAGGGGTGGAAGGGTCGGGGGTTCAGTCATGTGTCTGGATGGATTCGCTCTCGCTTGTCTATCGCCCTCGCGCGTGCGACTAGCTTCTGTCTGCGTGGGGGAGGGAGGGGAGGGTTTGCGGGACTGGGGTGTGCTGATGGGGCGGGGATTGATCCCTCCTCCCCTTGAGCCTGTTTGACTCTGCGTGCTGATGGGACTGTATTTGTATGAGTATCACGGACACACAGACGAGTGTTACGGTTAATGACAGTTTCTCCCCCTATGGCACACCCCCATACAAATCTCCCCCAAAGTGAAAAAGGTGGCGGCTCAACCCGGTCGGTCAGTTTGTCGTGGGCCGCGGTCGATCGGATCGCTTCCGTAATACATACTACTACAGAGTCAAAGGCCGCTGCACTACAAGCGGTACATCGCGAGAAAACTGACCCAGGGGGGTGGGAAACTGTGTTTTGTGCGGAAAACCGGGGCCCCATGCGGAAAGCTGAGCCAGGGGCCCGGAAAACTGGTGATCTGCAGGGGAAAACTGACGCCCTGAGTGGAAAACTGACCATCCGACGTGGAAAACTGGTGATCTGCAGTGGAAAACTGACCACCTGCGTGGAAAACCGGTGATCTGACGCGGAAACTGGCTTTCTGGTGCTTGTACCCAGTTTTCCACGGCCTGATGCCGGTTTTCCGCTGAACCTGACTATCGTTTTGCTCTTGTCGTCAAGGAATAGACAGACAGGAGGGGAGAATTGTGGCGGGGAGACAAAGTGCCGCTTGTATGGCATGATGCATGTGGCATCAGGCAGCGGAAAACTGGCACATTCAGTGGAAAACTGGCATCAGGCAGTGGAAAACTGGGTACAAGCACCAGAAAGCCAGTTTTCCGCGTCAGATCACCGGTTTTCCACGCAGGTGGTCAGTTTTCCACTGCAGATCACCAGTTTTCCACGTCGGATGGTCAGTTTTCCACTCAGGGCGTCAGTTTTCCACTGCAGATCACCAGTTTTCCGGGCCCCTGGCTCAGTTTTCCGCATGGGGCCCCGGTTTTCCGCACAAAACACAGTTTCCCACCCCCCCTGGTTCAGTTTTCTCGCAATGTACCGCTTGTACTGTGAGCTGACACACTCGCTCTCTCTGACAGTCACACGCCAGTCAGTCAGTCAGTCAATCAGTCACATTCACTCGCCCACTCACTCACCGGCCATCCACCCACCATGTCTCAAGAGCACCACCCTGAGCAGCAGCAGCACAGCCATGACGATGATGACGCCATGGCCTCACACAACAACCACCAGCAGCATGACCATGACGACCACAACCACCCCGCCACCAAAACTGACGAGGGAGGAGAGCACACCATGGCATTGACGGATGAGGCCAGCGGCGGGGGCGGTGAGATGGCCGTCACATCTGACGTCACATCCGCCATCGAAGCTTGGTACGTACGGACAGACAGACACAAAGGGGGAAGGGGAAGACGAGACACTCGCGTCATCAATATCTGTGTCTCTGTCTGTCTGTCTGTCTGCGTGTGCTGTGATCAATGTGCCTCTGTGTGTGTGTGTGTGTGTGTGTGTGCAGGCGTGCTGACTTCGATGCGGGCCTCAAGCTGTTCCAAGAGCGGTATGTAATCGAGGGTCACACTTGACACGCGACACATCACCACCATCACTCACTCGTGTCATCAATGCACATTCTGTGTGATGTGAATCATGTGGTAGTTTCCAAAGTCTGGTCGAGTCGGTGTCAGTGTCTGTGGAGGCCGTCGACGGCGAGACAGAGCGGGAGACAGACAGAAAGGAGGCCATCGCACAACAGTCCAAACAAATGATGCAGCGATTCATGTAAGTGTGCTCGACACACATAGACACACATAGACACACATAGACAATGTCTGTCTGTCTGTCTCTTGTGCGTCCGGTCAGGTCGATGATTTCCAGCGTGCAGGCGTGTTTGGCGGCACACGAATGAGAGAGACGAATGACAAAACGAGTGACACACCAACATGCAGACAGACAGACAGACAAACAGACAATCGAACTAACGCACATGAAAGACAACAGGGTGGACGCTGGCACACATGAGTGAGTGACTGAGTGAGTGAGTGAATGGGATGAGCCAACGATTCATCAATTGAAGGACACACGAACAACCAAAGGACACATCATGCATTATTTGCAGAAGACGTCTCACTGAGCGCCATCGCCTCCGACCACCGAAGAGCGGCCGGCCGGCAGCTCGTCAAGAAGGGGGAGACCCCAGCCAGGACACACAGATAGAGGTGGTAGCGGGCTGGGTGGACTCGTTAGTGACACATCTGGACTGACGTGTGTGCCTTGTGTGTTGAGACAGACGATGTGATAGTGATGGTGACGGACATAGGTAAGCCTTCATTCATTCAACGACACAAAGACACATGGATGAAGTCTGAGACGCTATGTATTTCCACGGCACATATCACATGGACAGTAAGCCGCCCTGTCCCTCCCCCTTCCCTCCCTCCCTTCATCCCTTCATCCCTCTCTCCCCTCCCTTCATCCCTCCCCTCCCTCCATCCATCCATCCATCCCATCCCTCCCTCCCCTCCCTCCCATCCCTCCCCCCCTTAATCCCATCCCTCCCACCCATCACCAGGGAGTCTTGATGAGGTGGGGGCATCGGTCCGTTGTGCGGACCTGTGGGCCGGGCGGCTTGCCGGTGGGTAGGCGAGGCCGGGGCGGCTTTCGGGCGCCGCACGATGAACACCCCACTCGCAGCGCCCGCCGGAGCCGCTGCCACCATGACTTCCGCTCCCCCGGGTACTTGTTGTAGGTGATGTTGGTGTCGTCCTTGGTGCGGCGGAGGGGGAGGAGCACTTTGGCTGGGGTGGGGGTGCTTCTGGGCAGGGGCTTGGGCGTGGCCTTGGGCGTGGCCTTGGGCGTGGCCTTGGGCGTGGCCTTGGGCGGCTGCTGTGGGCCCGCTGCATACAGAGCACACAGAGCCAATCAACACATACATACAGCAATGAATAAGCACATGCATCGTCAGTGAGTGTCACTCTCCTTACCTTCCTCCTCGTCGAGCCCCTGGTCGAGCCAGGGCTCGATGCTGCTTATGATGCCTGTAACGAACAGGCAGAAACAAGGAAGACGGCTTTGTGCGTGCGCCAATCATCCAATTCTGTGTCTCTCTTCGTGTGTACAGATAAGTGTCCGTTTCTCTCACCCCCTTCGGTCCACTCCTCCGTGCTCTCGGGGCCGTCCTCCATCGACAGGCGGCAGCTGTCCTCGATGCCTGTAGCGACGAAGAAAGATGGAACCATCCATTTAGCAAGTCTGTCTCTCTCTGCCTCCTTTCCTTTCCCTGACCTCGGTCGCCGAGCTCGGACAGCGGATCGCCCCTGGCATGAGCATCCACCCCCGAGGTCTCCCCCCCTGAGACCTCGGGGATGCTCTCGAGGCTGCCCGTCTGCTGCAGCAGAAGCAGACTCGATGACCGGCCGTGGGGAGCTGCCGTCGAAGCGACGGACGCGCGCCGGTCGGTGGCGGCCGTGGCTGGCTCCCCCCCCTCCCCCTTCCCCTTCCCTCCCTCCCACTCCCCAGCAATCGCAGCAGCTGTGGGCAGCAGCGCCCGAGCTTCCTTGCTCTCGGCCATCATCTGACGAAACACACACATGGAGGAGATGACTGGATGGAGGGAGGGATACACTGTCGTGGCGTCGGAGTGCGGATGAACCGGTGACTCACCTCTTCGCAGTCTCCTCGCCCCCAGCGCCCCCGTGAGTTCGGGCCCCTTGACCCTGCAAACCCTTGACCCATAGAAGAGCGTGCGTAGATCTTGTGCTTCTCGCACGTCGATTAAGGCGAATCGAACTGCACGTATGGGTCTGGGTCTGTGAGCGGCGCCTTCGGATGGCAGCGTGTGGGTCGGCGCGTGGCTCGGCAGACGCGAAGAGCGCCGCCAAAGAGCTTGTGGATGAGGTGTTGCGAGTTGAACCGGAGAGCGGTGATGTGAAATTATTTCATTGGGACCTTCTGGTGCTGGCGCTGAGTGACGCAACAGATCCGCAGCTGCAGGCTGACGCCGCCCGTGCCATCATCAAGTTCTTCAAGACTCGGTCATCGCAGTTTCGCATCGATGAGTTCAAGCGGCTGTGTTCTTCCCTGTCGGACATCAAGGCGGCTCGGGGGCTCTCGGATCTGGTGGATGAGGCCATCTTCTCCCTCCTCTCATCGGCAATGTCAGACCGGGACGACTCCTCATCAATGCGCGATCACCTGCTGACCCACCACGTGGACCTGGTCAGAAGAGCCGAGGCTGCGTTCGCAAAGGATGAGGCCCTCAGCTTCCTCAGGCTGCTTTACGGTCCCGTGTCACCTTTGGCCACTGTCCCCATTGCCTCGTGGATTAGGGCTTTTGACATGGTCGTGGAGTTGGGGCTGAGCGACGTGGCGCTGACGGGCCGAGCATCCAAAGGTGACGGACGGCTGCTGCTGTCTGTAGTCAGCAACAGGATGTACGGCAATCTCGGTTCCATGACTCTAGCAGGTAGAATGAGTGAACGAGTGAGTTGCTGACTCAGCACTTTCATTGGTACATGTTTCGTTCAGGTGCGCATGAGGAGGCCCTATCGGCTGTCCATCGGCACATGTGCCCGCACGCCGGACGCCTCGTCGACGTGCTCGTGTCCGACACGGCTTCCGACGCCATCAAGGGCAACGCCTTAGCCGTCCTTGGCTTCATCTTCTCGACAGCCTACATCTGCACAAGAGGTCCACAGGACGGCAGCCAGCTGAAGAAGGCGCTGAAAGAGCCCATCCGTCTGCTGCTCAAAGACGACATGAGGGGGCTCAAAGCTACAGCTAAGGTGCTCAAGAAGTGCTATGAGGTCGACCTGCTCGACGTTGAGGGAAGCAGTTTCGTCACCATCCCTTTCCATCTCCAGCTCGGTAATCTTCGAAAGAGAAACACACGCCTGTCCCTTTGGATGTTTCTTCGTGTGTAGCGTATGGCTTCTCCCGCCAGGTCGTCGACGCCGGCTACCTCCCTGCCATGCTGACCGTCTTCGACGATGAGCGGCTCGGCAGTCATTCCTTCCACAGAGGGGCCCTGACGGTTGCGGTGGTGGTCGTCAAGCTCATCGTCGAGAACGACAGCGAGGTCAGTCGGCCCAGGTGAAAGGCTTGATTTGGTGGGCAGATATGCTGTGTGTGTGTGGGCGTCAGGCCATTGCCAACGCGGATGTCGCTGCCATGCTTTGTCGTCTGCTGCACCGCCATGCTGCTGGCGAGTTCCGAGCCAAGGAAGCAGACCATGTGATTGACAACATTGTTGGGGTACTGGGCAAAATGATTCTGTAAGTACGGGAACGTGAATGTGTGTGTGTGTGAATGTAAAGAACGCACCGTCGCTCGCCTTTGCTTGTGTGATGCAGAGCTTCTTCGGCGGCGTTGACCGATGAGATCACGAAAGAGCCGCTATTTTGCCCTCTCGAACCAATGGGCAGCAAAAACGTCATCGCGCAGCAAACGATTAGGGTGCGAAAGAGGTTCTCTATCTCTCTCTATCTTGCCACAGTCATCCCAGCGACATCCACTGTGTGCTATGCGCGAGTGCAGATGCTGTCTGAGTGGGTGCCGCCGAGCACGGCAGCATACCAGCGGCTAACAGTGCATCCAAAGGTGGGCTGCAGAATATGTATAAGAGGTCTGCGGCGAGTGACTAGTGATCATACTTTTCAGGTGGCGAGCTTCTTCGAGGAGATCGACGACTTCGCGGGTCTCCGCATGTTCGCCATGGAGCTTACCAACGACGGCGACCGAACAGCTGAAGGGGGAAACACCGCAGGCACGGCTGACGCCGCTGCTGCTGCTGCTGCTGGTGCTGCGAGTGCGTTTGCATCTTCTGGCCCAAAGGACAGATGGAAAAGTACGAACGATGCTGATGAACCAATAAATCAGACACACACCACGACAGACCTTATCTATGCGCCTCTTAACAGGTGTCGGAAACGCACTCTTTGGCAAGTTCAAGTACCTCGACGCCTACCGGGCATACATCAAGGTACACACGGGGCAGGAGGGGCGGCAACACAGACGTGCACTTGAGGCCGTGCTGTGTGCCGTAGGGCGTCCGTTTGGCGAAGCTGGAGTCCATCTCTGAGCTGCTGGTCCGCCGCGCACAGTGCCGCATGGGTGTGGGCGACTGTGTGGGTGCGATGATCGACGTCACGACCGCCCTCCGCATTCTCCCGCCGCCCCCATCCGTCGAGCCCGGCAGCAAGTCGGCCATCATCCAGCAGACCGCGGTAGAGATTGTATACACACCGCTCGTCATGCGGTGGCTCAATGGCCTCGATCCTGCCACCGGCGGTGAAGATGTGATGGTCCTGCCATCGGAGGAGACGACAGCGGCCTTCATGAAGGACGCCATGCAGCACCTCTGCGCGCGAGTCGAGGCGGCGGGACCGTCTGAGCCACTCGAGGTGGCCGATGCCCTCGCGGCAGGCCAGCAGCTGCAGGAGGAGGACAGATTTGCGGAGGCTTCCGATATCTTCACGGCTGGTCTTGCTGCTGCTGACGTGTCGACGCTCATTGCGCTGCTGAGCAATGCCTCGGCGTGTCTGCTCAAGCCCGAGCTCATTAGGGAGGGGGGTCCGGATGCAGTGGGGTGTGCGGCCGCCGCCCTCCATCTGAGCTGCCTGCATCACGATCCCTCCCAGCAGCTGACCACCATCCAGCAGAAGTGCCTCGTGCGGCTGGGCCAGGGGCTGCTGGCCGAGCGGCTCTTCGACGCTGCTGATGTCATTGCCAGGGCCATCAAGAAACACGTGAGTGGGGGAGTGGGGAATGACGGAAAAGGGGGATGATGTGTGTGGTGGTGCGTGTGTGTGTGTGGTTCAGGTTGGCGAGGGCCAGATGAGGACGGAGGCCGACACACTGCAGCAACGTATCCGCACCCACCGGGCCAATGCTAAGGGCGACTTTGACTGGGCCGCCATCTACCGTCAGCAGCTCGACAACATCACAGCCATGCAGCACGGCAGACCCCCCACATCCATCGACGTGGCCGAGTACGTTGGCCCCGTGGTCGTGCGACACGACGAGGCCCAGCAGCCCAGCCTCTATGCGAAGGAGGACATCCAGGTGGGCCAGCTGCTGCTCGTTCAAAAGCCCGTCGTCATAGCGTCCGGTGATTTCGCATCGCTGACGAGCTCGGACGGCTACAGACAGCTGATGGCGGCCTGCAAGGACGGCTGGCATCCCCGGCTGGTGTCGCAGCTGTGCTGTCTGTCAGAGGGCCAGCGGCGGCCCTCGACCCTCGCGGCCCCGCCGTCCCACGAGACGTGTCTTGGCCTGGTCCCTGGCTTCCCCCTGCTGCCCCGCTTCATGCAGTCCCATGGTGCGGAGGAGTTCGGCTCGCCTGTGGCCCAGGTCGACGGCGACAGCATTCCCCAACTCGTGACCTTCAACCATCGCATGAGTGTCACCATCCGCGGCTGCCTTCCTGGTGTGCTGCGTACTCCTGATGACGCCACGTCCACTCCGGCATCAGGGGTGTGGATACTGCCGTCGCTCATCAGACACGCGAGATACGACAGAAATGCCATATGGTAGGCACCAAGCACCACGGGAGGGATGGACACGCCCCATTCCGACATATTGGACTTGTGTTCGTCTGCGTGTGCTCTGGTCAGGTATGTGGTAGGCGACCTCTTGGTCGTGAGGGCCTCACGAGCAATCAGCCGCGGCGGCGGCGTGACAGCTGACTACTTCGACGACGGATATGAGTTCTTTGACGCCAAGGATTATGTGGATGACGGCGACGCCATTTCGATGGCCGAGCGGTGGGGAATCCCCTCGCCCTCGCAGCACGACGAGAAGCATATCCAAGAGGCCAGCAGGGCAATCGGCAAGGGGATCCACCGCGTCGGCACCCTCCGTCGGGGCGGAGCGTCGCCCACGGCTATTCTGAGAGATAGCGACGCCCTCATGAGGAAGATGGAGACCCTGCAGCAGTCGATGACGTCCAACGTGCCCACAATGAGGACCAGCGAGCTGCACATCTTCCGGGGCATGCTTCTCTGTGGGCTGGGACGCCATGATGAGGCCAGCGAGGCGACGATCGAGGCCGTCAAGACCGCCCGGGCGGTGCGGTCGATCGGCGTTGGGGACTGCCGCTGTCTCTCGACGACCATCCGTTCTGCACCACATGATTCGCAGCTGTGTGATGTGATGCTAGAAGAGCTTCGGCGCACGTGTGCGCTCGTCTTCGACACACCCGATGCAGCGAATATGATCTTCCTCAATCAATGAGCAGAGCTGAGAGGGTGTCTGGCTCGGAGGCCCGCTTGCTGTCTGCCTGCCTGCCCGCTTGCAGCATGGCGGCTTGATCGATTAGACTGGGATTGGGATGGGATGTAGATAACTGACCTTGGAACCTGACACGGTGGATGCGTGCGTGTGTTCACACATACATGGGGTCAATCATTCATCGCATCACACGCTGCATCAACGAGCCGTCATTGGAAGTCACACACACACACGCACACACTCACAAACACATGAACGCAACCCTCGTCTGTACACTCAACCCGACCCCCGTCCTCCCAGTCGTACAAGTCTCTCCTGCCTCACCCCTTGTCTGTCTGTCTGTTAGCTGTCGACCAGCCAGCCAATGCACTACTTGAGGTGCGATGCGTCCCCGGGGCACTCCCACATGCCCTGTCCCCCGATGCCAGGGTGGTGGTGCGGCACGTCGAACCGCTTCTTCAGACGAAAGGCGTCCTTGCCGCTCAGGTAATAACGGTTCAGCCGCTTCTGCTTCACAAACCCCTGCTTCGCGTACAAGGCTGACACACCACTCAGAGGCAGAGAGTGGCCACAAGGCTGGCAGAGAGAGGGTGCTAAGTACTTACCTAGAGCAGCTTTGTTGGTGGTCTCTGCTTCTAGCACCACCTGAACAGACAGACAGACAGACAGACGGACGGACGGACAGACACACATATGACGCACAGTGAGTGCATCTCGTCAGTCATTGTGTGTGTCAGTCACCTCTTGGATGCCCTCCACCTGCATCTTGTCCACCGCTCCCCTCACAAGCATGGAACCTGAACACCAAAAGAAACACACACATACGAGCATCCATCCTTTCGGGTCTGCAGAGATGCATTCACGGGGAGACCGACTAACTAACCGATGCCCTTCTTCCGGTGGTCCTTGTCGACAGCCACCATCCCTGCAGGTAAGGTAGATGAGATCCACCAACCAATCGATGGACGCTCTGGACGTGCGTAGGCCGACCGACCGATGTATCCCCTCTTGAGGACTTCATTCAGCCTCTTGCTCTTGTGGTCCTCCACTTTGCACACCACCACACCCACTATCTCATCCTCAATGTGAGCCTGCATTGAGCTCATTCCATCAACACACACACACAAACACACACACACCAGCCAGACACGAGCAGCTGAAACAACTGTGCTTTGTGGGTGCATTCAAGTGCAAAGCGTGCGTGCCACAGCTGACCACGATGCAGAACTGCGGGTACTGGAGGATGAAGCACCGGTACGTCCATATGGAGTAGGGCTCCGACAGGTCCCTCGCCACCAGCTCCATGATCCGCTCAAGCTGCGACTCTGATGATCTCATCACAAACAAACAGGCCATGTGCCGACCAGATCATGGCACGGCATGGCGTGTGCCGTGCGTGCGTGCCTCACCCACCGTCTTCAAAGGAAGAACACACAACCTTCGTGCCGTCACCGAGATCTTTCTGCGACTTGAACAGCCGTATCATTGGGCTCAGCATGGTGAAAAGCAGGAAGGCCTGGAGGGAAGGAAAGGATGCGTAGATCTCGGTGGTTGCTCATCGCCCTAAAAGGTCGGCAGGTGAAACTTTTGGATTGAGAAAGACGGTTCTCTTGCCTTTGGAAGGTCGCAGGGGCACCCCGGCAGCGGTCCAATCGGTCTCACAGGAGCAAACAACGCATCAGGTCCGTGAGCCATCCATCTTTCTCCCGCATCCGGGCCACCAGCTCTTGTCGTGTGTGGGTTGATCTGCCCATCTGCTGGCCTCATCGTAGCCGCTGCACTGCTCTTCAGCCCCGCCACTGCCTAACAGCCATTGCAGCAGCCCATCCGCCCATCAAATCAACCAGCAAAGTTCTCCTCTCTCTCGCTTCAACCGCCGAACGGACTACGGATGACCAGCGAGACCATGACCAGCAGGAGCGGTGGGTGGATGCTGTCCTCTTGCTAAGCCGTGACTAACCAGCCATCAGGACTGCTGCTCTAGAGAGAGGCTTTAAGCGGCTGGTCTGGTCGTCCGTACCATGAATCCCTCGGCAGACGGTGATCCGCCCCCCCGCCCTTGTAGCGCCGCATCCCGCCTGGAGATGAGAGATGCCGTGTCCACCACCAACACAACACCAGACACGCGCACGCCGCGAGAGAAGAGGCCCGAGGAAGACAACAGCAACAAAGACAAAGCCACGGCCAGGGATGCCCACATCCCGCCGGCCTATGCCAGCAGCACCGGCGGCAGCAAACTGATGCGGTTATTCCGTTCCTCTGCAGTGCATAAGGTCCAGGCCAAGGCGGCCGACAAATCGCACTCTGGCCAGCCGCAATCCTTGGCGGAGGCGCTGCTGGGCGGGGGAGGGCGTGAGGGTGGCGGTAGGGGGAGTCCATCTCTCCGCTACAGGGAGAAGGAGCAACAAGGAGAGGACAATGACACCGTGACGCATGCACCTGATACCGTTGCACCATCTGGTGGGTATATACAAGGAGAGGGAACGAGCAATACGTACCATTCACGACCGGCTTCTCGGTGTGTGTTGTGTCCATTGACAGGTCCGTTTGTGTGGAGCAAGAGCAACCCACCGGCAAGCCCTCCCATCCCTCCCCTCCCCCCAAGCCCCATCCCCCATCGGCTCCAGCCCCATCCCCCATCGGTGCCATGCCTTGACAGCCCCAAGCCCACCCCAGCCGAGTCACTCGCCAACCAAACACCATACCGCCGTGTTGGCAAGGGCTTGCCACAGTCGTCGAGCGGGTCGGGTGTAGCGGGGGCAGGAGGCGGGGCGGTGCTGGGCGGCAAGCAGAAAGGCGATGGCGGTGGCGAGGGTGGAGATGAGGAGGAGGGTGTGTGGCGGCAGAGGCTGCGGGACTCGTTGGCCGACGGCGACAATGTGTGGCTGCTGACGGTGAGTGAGATCAGGCAGCGGCTGTTGGATGGATGGATGGATTGTGCTGCCGGTGTTTGCTATGTCAGAATCTGCGGAGTTTTTTCGACACGTACGTGACTCGTGCGGACCGCGTGAGGTGAGGAAAAAGTCTGTCTGCAAAGCCAGCCCAGCCAGCCCCTCCTTTGATACCGATCGTTTCCCTCCCTCGTATGTATGTATGGGTGTGAATGTTTGTCAGTGAGCTGCAGCGCCTCATTTTGACCCCTGGCGGTCCTCGACTCATCGACCTGCTGCTGAAGGCAAGCTTGCTTTGCAAGATACACACAGACACACAGATATACACACACGTGTATGTCTTTGTGTCTGCTCCGCCCTGCATGGGCAAATGAAATGAATGGTTCAGGCGTTGGCGTTTCGTCCTCTGCTGCCGTCGCTGCTGGTGCACCATGTGTCTGCGGCCCTGTGGGTGACGGTGTTCGCACACTCTAACATACCGCAGAGGGTCAGACTCATCCAACAGGTATCTACAGAAATGCGAGGCGATGTGGGGGGCGAGGGGTGAGGGGTGAGGGTGGGCATTCATGTGTGGTTGTGTGGTTGTGTCAGTTGCGTGTGTGTCCTGACGCCATTGTGTCGGTTGCTGAGCATCGCATTGGCTGCCTGGCACTGCAGCATATCGTCTGTAAGCCCGCCTTTCGCACCCCCAGACGGGACGGGACGCACCACCACAAGCGGCCCCACTCCCCCTGTTTGTGTCTGTGTGTGGCGTGCGTGGCACATTTGTGCAGCGTTGTGCAGCCCCCGGGATGTGGGCACGTTGTTGTCGGAGCTGATCGTGTGCCACATCACGAGACTTGCTGTGGTATGGATAGATACCTCACATCCACACGCACCAGCTCCTCAGACACAACCTTGTTTGATGGCTATGCGTGTCCTTATTTTGTCAGCATCCTTTGGGTTCCCGTCTGGTTCGTGCCTTTCTGGTGCGGTCGCCGCCGCTGGACAGCTGGGACGTCGGCACACAGCTCCTCACACACGCCGTCCAAGTAAACACATCAACATACACAGCACACCACACCATCCTACAGACGCCACCCTCCTCTTTGTTGTCGTCTGTCAGTTGTCGGACAGCGAGAGTGGTTCATCGTTGCTGCGTCAGATGATCCTGTCGGCCCCGCATAGCGCCTCCCCCTCGAGCAGGCTGCACCTGCGGTCACACATGCTCCTCAGCAGCAGAGACATGCTCACCACCCGCTACGGCCCCAGCCTGATCAAAGACTTCATCATGGTCAGAAATCCAACCAACAAGAACACCCCAGGACACATATACAGGTCCCTCCATCTGTTCGCTCTGCTGTTCTGTCAGTGCTTCGACGATGACGCGGCGACGATGATGTGCAGGAGGCTGGTCGCGATGGAGGACGAGGCCTCTGACAGCAACATGCTGGACGTGCCGGCCATCTGCTCTCTGCAGTCCATGGCTTCTGACCGAGACATGGCCGCCATCCTCGCGACACTCATCGCCAGGGCCGACCAGGCGGCACGACAGGCGCTGCTGGCCAAGGTGGCCAACATGTGGAGGTTCGACCACCCCAAGAGATTCGGATTCGTCACCGCCAGATATGCACATGTCGTCATCAAAGCGGTAGGACAGGGGCCAGGCAGCGCAGGGAGAAACGGGCAGAGGCAATGGAGAGCGGGGTCGTTGACGTCTCTCTCTCTCTCTCTCTCTGCTGGTTCAGACGTTGCCCCACCTGGATGTGCCGGCACTCACCTCGCTGCATGATGTAAGCCATCCGTGGAGGCTCATTGCCTACACACAATTGCGTAATCCCTTCTCCCTCTCTCCCCATTGTTTCGTTGGTCATCAGGCCAGTGATCGCTACGTGCGCCCCGGCCTTGTGTGGGGCGAAGACTGTCTCAGCGCCAAGTGGGACGCCATCTCCCGCATCACCCAGGTGGTCACCTCAACCCTCCCCGCCAAAGGCCTCACCCACTACCGGTCCAAGCCGCCCATGACCCACCGTGAGAAGAACCTCGGCTGCCCCACCCCCGGCCCGAGTGACTTCGTGTCCATGCGCTCACCTCACTCCCCGAGCCTCACCTCACCGGCACGTAGTGGCCAGTCGTCCACGCCGCCACGTGGCAGCGAGGCGGCTGCAATGGGGGCGGCTGGCATGTCGCCTCTTCCTGTCGTGACGCCCTCGCCCCCCGCGGCCTCGTTTCCCTCTCCCTCCAGTGAGTCGCCATCGTCCCATTCCAGCCACGTGATGAAGGCCGGCCGCAAGAGCTCTTCTCGCCTGACCGACAAGCCCCGACATCATGGCTCGCCCCCGCCTGACGTGTCGCCGTCATCCCCAGACCCGTATCTCTCACCCGACGGCTGGTACTCGCCCCGACAGTCGGCAGATGACCATGACCATCCACATGCGACCACCAGCACGGTTGACGAGATCCAGGCGTGTCTGGAGCGGATTTTGGAGAGCGACGGCAGCGAGGGCGACCGGCAGCAGCTGGCCAAGAAACTGGAGGAGGCCCTCATACAGGGACAAACGGTGTGCTATGAGGCAGCCGAGGAGGGCGAGAGAGGGGAGGGCGGGGGGGAAGAGGACGGTGCTGCGTTGTCGCATGAGCCTGCCATCGCAACCGCCACGCCAGAGTCCGGAGAGAGCCCGGCCATGGCCTCCCCGTCAGGGGAGACGACAGACGGTGTGGCGACGGCCAAGGCGGAGGAGAAGGCGCATCTCGAGAAGCTCATCGTAAGCTCATTTCAGTCGTTGCGTATCCATCCATCCATACGTGTGGTATATGTATGGGCGCGTGGTTGTGTCTCAGGTATCCATGTCGCTCAAGGCGGCGATGGCCAACATTTCCTCGTCCCCACAACACGCCGCCCCCCAGAACGCCCCGACGCTCCCCGGCGGCTCCGATCACACAGAGGTTGATGGGGCCGTGCCTGAGATGCCGATCAACGACCGAATCATGCACATATTTCACCAGGCCGAGAAGCGCCGGGCTGAGCGGGACCGACTGGCCATGGAGGCCAACCGCAACCATCCATACGAGGAGGACGATTCCCCCGTTCCGCCGCCACCCCCTCCTCCGCCCCCTCCGCCATACTACGCCAACGACACACCAACATCATCATCCTATCGCAGCAGCACCAAAGACCGCCCCAAACGAACACTTCAGCGGTATCGGGCCCGGACTGGCACAGACAACCGCGGGGCTGGGCGCCCAAAGCAGGGCGGTGGTGGTGGTCGTCATCAGCACCATCATGTGGCTGCGTCTGGCGATGAGGACACTGACCGGCCTAAGAACGCTCCATGGGCCACGGGTCCGCAGAGTGAGGGGCGGACTCTGTTCAGGCGGGGCTGGGGTGGCCGCGGCGGGACGGGGCTGTTCTATCGGCAGAAGCAGCAGAAGAGACAGTAGATAGATGGAAGATCGAGCCAAGCCAGCCAGCCAGCCAGTCGTACCCACAAACAGTCAGACAGTCGGACAGAGAGACATCAGTCAGGAGAGCGGCAGGCGAGGAAAGGAGAGGTCAGACCGACTCCAGGCTGTAGCATGATGGATGGATGCCTGGTCGCATGGATGGCGTGTGGGGCCCGCCTGCCTGTCGTGTGCATACCTTCTTCATCTACGTGTACACGTGTGAGCGTGAGTAGCCGCCTGGCCGAACATCTCGCTGTCTGGCTGGCTGGCTGGCTGTCTGTCTGGCTGGTCGAATGGCTGATTGCAAGTGCGATAGTGTACGATCCATCGCTGACTGCGGACCTCCGCTGCGTGAGAGAGAGAGAGAGACCTCCATGCAATTCAACGAGGCCCAAAATCGTATTGGCCCTCAATACAAACAAGAACTGTCCCTTCCTCTAGACTCTATTCTTCTCTTATCCACAACACTCCAGCCAACTACGTACTTAGTGCTACTGCCTCCGTGCACCCACGGGTGACCTGCCTCCTCGAGCACTGCGCTGCGGCGTTGCCATGCCCGATGAAGGCTCGTATGTTGGCGGCTCCTCGTCTGTCGCGCTGTCGCTGTCACCTGACCCACTCTCCTCCTCCCATATAACGTCTTCTAGGGAGATGGCCACGCCGCCACGAGACGCTGTCGACCTCTGCTCATAGGCATACACACAAAGAGAGACACAGCGAGGGAAGAGGCGGGTGGTGTGTGTTGGGGGGCTTTGCCGTCTATGTCGTCTGACCTTTCTGGCGCTGGCCCGCCTCGAAGAAGATCGGCGCCGCATGAGGCTGTGTTGCCGCTCGCTCAGCACAAAGTAGGTCCGCATCTCACCTGCCATACAACAAAGGTGGAGAGACATGTTATTGATTGAGATGGATGGCATCGTGGTGCGAGTGGCGTACTACCTTTGCCTTTGACATAGATGGTGCCGCGGTCCTCACACTCAAAGTCTTGCTGCACACGACAGACAGACAGACAGACAGACAGGAGATGAGTGGCACCGATGTGCTATCACCTGAATGAGTTTGTATGTGGACTCCGAGATGTGCACACGACTGGGCTCGCCGTGAGACTGCGTGAGCAATGAATGAGTGAGTGGGGACAAATGGGGTGGAGTGCCAGAGTGTCTCTTCTGTGTCTTGTGTGTATGTGTGTGTGTGTGTGTGTGTATGGTGAGCACCTCCATTCGTGATGCGGTGTTGATGGCATCACCTGGATGCAGGCAGGCAGGCAGGCAGACAGGAGAAATAAGAGAAAGGCTATTCATTCATCAGACAAGCAGTGCTCTCACCCCAGACGTCATATGTGAACTTTTTGGTCACGATCACACCGGCCACGCAGTTCCCTGAACACCAACCAACCAAAGAGACGGACACAGCCATTCACCCATCAAGCTTCTTGGCGAGCCCAGCCAACGCTGCACGAATGGATCCAGTCATTCACTCACCGCTGTGGACGCCGATGCGTATCTGTATCTGCTCGTGAAGGTCATTCCGGAACTGCTTCATCGCAACCTGGGGCGACACGTACGCGTCATAAGATACGAGCGGTGTGTGCCCTCTGTGTGTGTCTGGCTGACGATCATCTGGAGTGCCATTCTGCAGCAGTCCCTTGCGTGGTGGTCGCTGGGCAAAGGCACGCCCCCCGCGGCCATGTACGCGTCGCCGATGGTCTTGATCTTCTCCAGACCATTGGCCGCCGCACACCCGTCGAAGACGACAAATATCTTGTTCAAAAGGGCCACCAGCCTGCACTCATTCCCGGGTGCCGCTGCATGGACGGACCTGTGGCTGGCCTGGTGTGTTGTATTGCATTACTTGATCGGTGAGATTCGTGACGACATGACTGTGAAGCCAACGATGTCTGCAGACAGGCGGAAGAGGAGGAGACGGACAACGAGCGGCCTCCGGCATCATTCTGTCTCTCTGTCTGTCTGTCTGTCTGTCTGTCCGCCCATGAATGCACGCACCCCACCTGAGAAGAGGATGCTGGCCTCATCGAAGGCCTCGGCCATGTTGAGCCTGAGAGACACACGTCGCTCCAGCCTCCATATCCCCTTGCCCCTCCCAGCGGCCCCCCGCCTACCTGGCGTCTGAGTCGGTCATGAACTTCTGCACGACATGTTTGGGCAGGATGTTGAGCAGCAGCGCATCGGACCGCGCATTCTCCGCTATCACCTGACACGGCGCGCCATGACACAATTATTTATCGACCCTCATGTGATTGATGCGATGATCGCATCCGTGCTCACTGTTTTGGCGAGCAGGAAGTCTTTCCTGGCCTGGACCTCCAAGATGTAGTTGAGGACGAGGATCATCAGACACCGATACGCGGCGTACTGCACACGCAGTGGACAATTCAGGCATACGCTCTCCTCTCCGCGTGATCTTTCTGTCCGTGACTTCTTACTTACTGTCCACTCGTAGTATCTTGTGAAGATGTGGTCCGGCTCCGCAAACTCGTCCGCAAACTCGGAGGCCTAACAAGGAGGGCGGAGTGAGGTGAGTGTGTCCGCATATGTATTCACTGAGGTGCAGTGCAGTGCACTCGACTCCCAACTTTCCTTGCCGTGGCCAGCACGGCAAAGATGGCGCACAGGCCAAGGAAGACGATGAACCTGGTAGATCGATCGGCCGATGAGTTAAAAGGAATGTCACGTGTGCGCCTGTCTGTCTCCCATCCCTGCCGAGCCGAGCGCCATGGATGGATGGATGGCCTACCTACCGAATTCTGAATAGTGTGCCTGCGATAATGAGGAAGGCCACCACAGTGTCGTTTTCGGTGCCCGATCTGCCGTGTTGGGTAGTGATCCTCAGGCGCATAAGCAGCAGCATGGTCAGCCTGACACAAACAAGGATGAGATTGAGGCATATATCTGTCACTGGATGCTTGGTTCGTTGCTTGTACCCACATGGTGCCGAAAACCATCATGGCCATGTTGGCTTGCAACCGCCGCTTGAACCAATCTGGTGGACACACCCCACCCACAAGACAAGACAGACCTCGATCACTGTCAGACGCCTACGCATGATGCACACAGAGCTGAGTGCTGGCTGACTGACTTTTGGTGGTGTAGAAGAGCAGCAGCACCAGCACACACCACGGGAAGATCACACTCTGACCACAGACACACCACGTAACAGACAGACAGACAGACAGTGATCCCTCCATCTCAATCAGTACTGGGTGTGTCTCTGTGTGTGGCTAACACGCCATGGATCATTCGCATACTCTTCCCTTTGGCCATCCTCTGCAGCGGAGCCGTCACGCTCGCAATGATCGCTGAACACACAAGGGCACATGCGTCGGTTGGCAGTGTGTGTGTGTGTGTGCCGGCTGGCAGAGTGCTGTGTCTCCCATGCACACCGACCGAATGCGGTGAGCATCCACAGTGCGAGCACCACCAGCTTGACCGACCGCCGCACATAGTCCTCCTGAAATGTCGTCTGAGACTCACACACATCAACGTTCGCGATGGATGACCCATACGGACAGCGACGACACAGAAACATGTGCTGTGTGTCTGCCTGCCTGCCTGCCTGCCTGCCAGTGTGGATTGGCTACCTCCATGTCTTTTTGTTCGAACTCCAGGGTGAGAAAGTGCATCGACGCCCCGTGTCGCTGCCATATGTCCTTGCGCTTGACGCGGCTGGCGTCCTCACTGTAGCCCTCCTGAAACAACTTGAAACGACGCGGGAGAAGCCTGCGCATAGCATACACGTGGATGAAGTTAACACGACGGCCGTTTCTTGCAAGGCGTGCAGGGGCGTATGTACTCTCTGTTGAAGGTGTATCTGAGGAGTCCGGTGCTCTTCCTCTTCTTGCCCCCCACAAGATTCTCCAACACTATCTCCTCACTGAAAAGACAACCAAGAAGGAGACGCAAGCAAGGCTAAAGCTGTGTGTTTGTCTGGGTGTCCGTCAGGTCATGCATCTGTTTGTCTGTCTGTCATGTTGTCTGCGTACAGTTGTGTGGCGTCGGTAGGGTGTCTGGAAGTCCCCCTGAACGACTCCCAGAAGCTCTTCCGCACGGGCGACTGACCAGACGGCGACTTGGGCACCCCCAGTTGACCAGCAGCCGTGGCCGAGGTGAGGGAGCCGCCCTTCCGTGGCTGGTCACCCGCCTCCACATCCACCTCCAGAGCCGCCATGTTGGGAGCGCTCGCGAACCCAACCATCCTGCTAGGGGAGTGTGGCCGCGGGGGGACCGCAGCAGCAGCTGCAGGCGCTGCAGGCGCTGGTGGAGTTGGCTCAGGGGGTGCTTCAGTGTCGAAGGGGCCGCCGAAGGATGTGGTGCGGATTTGCTCTGCGCCGGCCTCTTGTTGCGGCTGCACTGGGTGCTCCTCCTCCTCTTGTTCTGGTGGGAGTGCAGGCAGGAGGGGCTGCTTGCCTCTGCTCTCCGATGTGGAACCGGTCTCCATGTTATCGCCGTCCGTGTCGGGAGAAAGAGAGGGGAGAAGAGGAAGAGGGAGGCAGTGCATGCATGCATGCAGACTGGGGGCGCCCCCAGGCTCCGCGAATCAATCGTCGTGACGGTCGGGATTTGTCAATTCATCGCCACAATGCCAGGGGGACTCAGGAATTGCCACGGTAAAGCAGCTGTCTCTTATGCGATGGTGCAGCTTTGCACTGCCATGTACAACCTCAAGGCGATCGCCGAACAGGAGGGCGTGGGGCGTCCCTGGTCGTCAATCGCTCAGAGGCGGCCACTGGACAGTGCGAAAGCCACAGCAAGACAATCAGGCTGTTCCACCCACGCAGAGACCATCAACACTATCCGCATTGTTCCTTTCGTCAAGGTCGTCAGGAGAAGAGAGCATTAAGCGTCGAGAAAGTGCCGTACCCCACCAGCAGCCCTCCCGTGACCGGTGTGATCCACCGCAGCCCCTCACGCCCCTCACCCTGCGTCAGCAACTGCGCCAGCCGGCCGCTAGCCGTCCCGGCCGCCACCACTGGCGAAGCGTAGCCCAGTGTGTATGCAAAGAGGAGGGCGGCACCCAGCAGGGGATCGCCGGTCGACGCCACGTATCCCAGCAGAGCGGTAAGGACCGGGGTGGAACAGGGGGTGGCGATCAACGCAGACGTCACACCTGTACGTGTGGGGGGGG